CTGCTGCTGCTGCTGCTGCTGCTGTTGCTGCTGCTGCTGCTGCTTCTGCTGCTGCTGTTGCTGCTGCTGCTGCTGTAGCTGTGGCTGCTGCACCGAGCCTTCTCCAGTGGCGGCGGCAGCGCTGAGCAGCAAACCTGCCGCATCTGGCCAGGCCATTTGGGGGGCTCCGCCGCTCAGCCGCCGCCGCCTAGGGAGGGGAAACAGAGCCCTCTGGAAAACCGGAAACAGCGTAACGTTAGCGCCTCGAAGCCCTCCACCGGCAGCCCGGGGAGGTGGCCCAGCCAGGGCAGGGGACAGGCGGCAAGTGGGCCGCGATGCGCAGCCCGGCGCAGCGCAGCGCTCCCTCCCTGCGCGCCAGGACTTGGAGGAGGATGCGGAGGATGGGACGCCCGCCCACTTGCTCTCTCGCGCCCCCTCTATCCCCGGACCAAGTCAGGAGCGTGGCTTCTGCAGGGGAAGCTTGGAACTGCACTGCTTTAGTGCCCGCCTTCAGCCCGCAGGGGCGCGGGAGGAATCGTGCCACCCTTTGCTCTTGGGATTTATAAGCATGACAGTGGGGTTTAGTGCCGCGAGGAGAGGGTGGAGAAACGTAGAGGCCTCTGATAGCATCCCAGGAATAGGGGTGTAGGACAGGGCGTGCCCCTGTCTTCAGCCCTAGGCTGTAATTATAAGGGAGGTAGCCAGGGCCGGGATGGAGTGCTTGCCTTCAGGGCTGCCTTCTTCCCTAAAAAGGACCCTGGAAACAGCCCCCCTAAGAGTCCACCTGCTCGACCCTGCCACCGCCTGGTGACCGCTGGATATTTGAGCTGGGATAGATAATTCTAGTCCCATCATTTTTAAAGGATTAGGGCCACAAGAAGTCTTGTCTCCAGAGGTAATGATTGAAAGTGGTTCCGGCCACTCAAACTCAGGGTTTTCTCCAGTTGTCAAGGGGAACCAGGCTGCACGTTATACAACCCCATTTCCTTTTTAAAAATCCGCTCCTTTAAATGTGTGTGCGGAGGGGTGGGGGATAGCTCTTAGGAGTCAGCTTAGAGTCAGAGCCTGTCAGGTCCAGAGAAGGCTCCATGGAAATGGTTTCTCTGTAATCTGGTGCTTGCAAAAGCCACTGTCTGATACAAACATGTCTTCCACAATCCACGCGTTCGAGTCAGTGGGGGCCCAGGAAGTTTTTCCATATGCTGCTGTTATCCTGAATGGATGTCAGGTTCAGAAATGCGAGTGAAATTCTTGAGAATTTGATTCCTGGGGGGGGGCACAAGGAAATTAGCCCAAGAATGACTGGCTCGGGCTAGGACAGCTCTTGCAGGGTGAAGAGAAGGTGGGTGCTGGACTCTTGGCTCTCCTAAGTGACACTTCAAACTGATTATCCAAAGAGAACAGTGGTACCTCTGCCACCTGACTCCAAATTCCCTCTATTTCTAAATGGTAACACTTTATACTTGGGCACTAATCCATTCTAAGTCCCTAGTCTCTGTGGACCATTCAGTCACCAAGTCCTGTAGTTCTTCCCTCAAAAGCCTCTAATCCATCTCCTTCCTCTCTAAATGTTGCAAACACCTTAAGGCCAAGTCTTCATTGTGAACTGTCTGAGCACTGTCAAGCTTCCTAATGGCATTCACACCTTTTACCTCACCACACTTGTCGGTAGGCTTAGATCTCAATCAGTGAGCTTTCTAAGTGAAAGAATGTGCCTATACCCAAGAGTAGAAGCCAAAAGGGGGCTTCTTCTGCTCCGCTAGCCTGGTAGCTAACTCCTTGCCTTAACAGTCGGGGCTGTTCTTGTTCTTCCTGCACATCCAGGAAGCCTCACCTGTAGCTTGTTCGTCTGGGGAACTATTCTTCCCTTAAGGCCTACGTCAGCATTATACCGGTCCCCTGCACACAAATCCATATTCATCACCACAACAATCAACATGTACACACCTGATGGAATGAACCCCATCCTCCCCTGTGTTACCACGCTCCTTGCATACCGCACTGTCACAGGACTGGCCCCACGGTACTTCCAGCAGCTGTAATGCCAAGGTCTATGTTCTCTGAGTCTTTGGATCCCTATGACAACCAACACATAAAACACAATCAGCAGCCGGGCCGTGGTGGCACTCACCTTTAATCCCAGCACTCCAGAGGCTGAGTCGGGTGGATCTCTGTGAGTTCGAGGCCAGCCTGGTCTACAAGAGCTAGTTCCAGGACAGGCTCCAAAGCTACTGTGAAACCTTGTCTAGGAAGAAAAAAAAAACCCCACACAATCAGCAAATCTTCAGTGAAGGAAAGGGAAAAGGGGACAGGGCATACTGAAGATCAGTATTCTTTTTCGTTTTGGTTTTTTAAAACAGGGTTTCCCTGTGCAGTCCTGGTTGTTCTGGAACTCACTCTGTAGACCAGCTGACCTCAAACTCAGAGATCCATTTGTCTCTGCCTCCTAAGAGATGTGATTAAAGGCAGGCACCACAACCTCTGGGCCCAGCATTCTTTTTAAAAAAAATTTTAACTTTATAGTTATGTGCATGTGTGTACATGCTCATGAGCACAGGTGCCTGAAGAAGCATGTCTGTGATATGACACTGACTATTTAACCTGGAGTCTCGGCAAGAGCAGTTCACACTCTTAACGGCTGAGCTATTTCCCCAGCCCCAAGATCAGCACTCTTAAAGGCCTCAGGCCAGTTTTCCCAGGTCCTTCGTTGACTTCCTTCAGTCATAAATACCATAAATTAATAAGATATTGCTAGAAAGAGGATGTCTAACTCCACCTCTCATTTTCCAATGAAAAGGAGAGTTCCAGAGAGACAAAGAGACTTAAGAGTATGCACAACAGCAGCAGTTCAGTCTTTGGTTTCTGGGGCCAGAGAAGCAAATAACTTGTACTCTGCGGTCAAGGAGAAGCGGATTTTTCAACCAGTTTTATACATTACTAGCTTCTGCATGAGTTCATTTTACCCCCTAGTTCTCAGTTTCCTCATTAGAGTAATGGTGAAAATAATAGGCTATACTTCATACTGCTATTTTAATGTACTTATTCAATAAATAATCAATGCACCATGCCTCCATGCCGAACAGCAAGCCACTGACCTTGCTCCTGGATAAACCGAGGTAAGCCAGCTCAACAAGGACCCTGCTCTCAAAACCCTTAGTCCGACTGGAGGGACAGTGGCAAACAAGTAGGGAAATCAGTAACTAATTGCGTATAGTGATCGGTATTCCGAAGGAAATAAACAGGATGAAATGATAGGGAATAATGGAAAGGTGGAGACAAGGTCAGCTCGGAGCAAGGAAGGCTTCTTTGAGGAGATAATGTTTAAAATGAGAGTGGGAGGGTGTGGCTGATACGAGGCACGTGTCTAAGGTACCGAGGACAATGCGTAGCACAAAGGGGGCCAAACTTATTTGAATGAGATTGATGATTGGTGACTTATATTAGTGATTCCCACACAAAGAGAGCAGAATCTCTCTACGTGGTAAGGAATTATTGCACACTAGGGCTTTCTGCATATTAACAGAAATTGAGCTGGCAAGATGGATCAGCAGGTAAAAGTGCTTGTCACCGAGCTGAGGGCCTGAGTTTAGTCCCCGGGACTCACATGGTAGAGAGACAGAACCAGCTCTGAGAAACTGTCCTCTGACTTCTATGCAGACATGCACACCCACACACAACATTTTAAAATTATTATTTGAAAATCAGTCAGGCATCCGGGCGGTGGTGGCGCTCACCTTTAATCCTAGCACTCAGGAGGCAGAAGCAGACAGAGCTCTGTGAGTTCAAGGCCAGCCTGGTCTATAAGAGCTAGTTCCAGGACAGGCTCCAAAACAGAGAAACCCTGTCTCAAAACAAAACAAAACAAAACAAAAAAAGCAGCCAGGCATGGTAGTGTATCCTTTTAATCCCAGTTCTTGGGAGAAAGAGACAAGTGAATCTCTGTTAGTCCGAGGCCAGCCTGAGTCCCATAGCAAGTTCTGGAACAGCCAGGGATACATAGTGAAACCCTATCTCAAAACAAACAAACAAACTTAAAAGAAAATATAGTTTAAAACAAAAATGAAGAGTGGGTACTGGAGAGGTAGAGGTTAAGAACACTGGTTGTTCTTGCAGAGGAACAAGTTTCCATTCCCAGAACCTTGGCCCACAATCAACCACAGTAATACTGGTTCCAGGGGATCCCGTGCCTTCTTCTGCCCTCTGTGTATTCCAGACATGTGTGTGGTGCACACACATGCAAGCAAAATACTTACACACATAAAATTACATAAATAAACCTAAAAAAATCTTTAGTGCAGGGCTGGGATTGTGTCTCAGTTAATATGACAGTTGTCAAACATGTGTCAGGCCCTGGGTTTGAGCCGCAGCAGTATAAATACACACCGGCAGAAAAATATAGGGCTGGAGATGCGGTTCAATCGGTAGAGAGTTTGCCTAGCATGGATTTCATCCTCAGCACTGCCCAGACTCAATATAGTGGCACACACCTGTGATCCTATATCTTGAGAACTAGAAACACTGTGGTCAGAAGTTCAAGGTCATCCTTGGCTGCACAGTCAGTTGAAGGTCATTCAAGGATACAGGAGATCCAATGTCAAAAAATAAAACACATAAA